GGTTGTACTCCGGGCTGTTGCCTAGAAAAAGAAATGCAGAAGTTCAACTTCGGATGCAAAATATGAACTTGAAACAAACAGATTACATTTCATATGCAAGAGACGCTGGATTGAAATGCAAGATCAACAGGCAAACACTACAAGACTGATTTGTACAAGCCCGCAAATCGACTATGAGACAGTACATGCAGCGAACAAGTACCAAAAGAAACGATACTTACAGGACATATCCAATCCTTCCATCAGGCAAAAGCATAGGCATCATTGCCATGCCAGCAGGAGTTGGTCCCCTACCATATATCAGTGGCTGCAAGAAATTGAGACCTATATCAGCAAACATATCCAGAGAAAGTTTGCTCTAGACCAAGTATTGGCATAGGAAGTATCGTAGAAAGTTAAATGAGCAATTTTTAACTTTTTGAAGTTTGTCTCATGGGAGAGAGAGACGTGTAGTTTCTGTTGTCAAAATTGTTACATAAACAAAGATACTTTAAACTTGTGACTAACTTTATTACAAGACAAATGCAATATCCCTGTATGTTCAATATGTCATCAAGTTAACAGACAGACAGCCCTATTTGTTTATTTTAGGCCATGATAACACTATAATTTAAATCTTACTTGTCCAAATCCCGGACCGCTGTATCCAGCACCTAAGCCACCACCGTATGGACTACCCCCTACCATGCCATACCCCAGACGTGGTGGGTAGGTTGGAAGTAAGGCCGACTTCTGATGATTTGATGATCCAGAAGACTTCTGATCTGATTGTGGCTTTGCAAGAGAACACTCCAAAACTTGACCTATGAAACAAAAGATTATGAATTAAGATTCTCTCCCGAAAATTTTGGTCTAACTATTGAGAATAGTAAAAGAGCATAAGAAAGCTACCATCAATTTCATATTTTTCAGTGTTCTTCAATGCCTTCATGGCACATGCCCTTTCCGCAAAGTGCACAAAACCAAATCTGCTCTTTTCCTGTCCCGCTTTGGCAGGCGGGAGAACCACTTTTGTTATCTTTCCATGATGTTCAAACAGATCCTTCAGCTGATCCTGAGTAATGTCTTTTGGTAAATTTTTGACATACACAGCCTTAACCTGTATCAATCAAAACAAAGAAGTCATGACTTGAGCAACATCCACAAGTGCATGTAATAATACAAAGGGAAAAGAACTCTACACGTGTAATGTTGCACATAGAAGTAAGAGGTCTAGTGCAGTGGAGATCATGGAACGGAGTATTCAGATAAAAAAGGCAAAAGGAAACCGAAAGGCGAGCATTATCAATTCAAAATTGTTTTCAATTTCAAACTATAAAGGAGAACATGTAAGAGTAATCTGAAGCCAATTAATCCCCATATACATCTAACTAAATATACTTTATTCTTTTTCAAATAAAATTTAAAGGGGTCAACCCTAGGCATCCATGTATAAGGACCGAGCGAGCATAGATACATCCAAGAAGCAACCTCCCACAACCAGGAAAGATAATTAGGAACCGTGATAAAATGTTGTGGGAAGAAATATAAGAGAGCCAAAAACAGAACTATACAATAGCAGACTTGTGTGTGAAAAAAGGCAGCGACAGCTAACCTGAGAAGCAGCAGAGGATTCTGCATTTTTAGGATCAGCCCAGCTCACAGTTGGAGCATTTGTGTCAAGCTTAAACTTTGGGGTGGACATCTTTTGTCTTGAGTATTCTGCACAGGCATGATTATAATACTCAATAAACGCGAATCCACGATTTCGGCTGGAATTCTGTGGGTCCTGTATAAAGAAGATTCAATGGAAAACTGAATTAGATCAAGAAACAAGGAAAATCATCAAGAAGACAGTTAGGATCTGGAAATGATAGGAAACCTTCAACAATTCCACAGAAATGACTCCTGGTCCAATATCTGTTACAGCCTTCTTCATATCTTCCTCTCCCCAACTTCTTGGAACATTTCCAATGAACAACCTATGCTTTGCTTGAGATGTTGAACATTTAATCCTTTTTCCCTAGAAAAGGAAGCCAGCAGAAAAGTTAGTGTTGCAAGAAACGTAAACCTTAGTTCCACTTTCCATTATAGATAAGGAAACCAAGTACTTATCTCAAAAGGAAAAGTGCGAAAGAAAGTGGATGCAGAAATTAGTAGCGCCACAAAACTGAGTTGATAATTTACAAAAGCAATGCTTGGGGAAAATAAGTGACCAAAAGTGAGTTCAGATTACCTTTAACTCCGAATTATTCAGCTCCTCAATGGCCTTAGAAGCCAATTCCTTGTTTCTGAAGGTTACAAAAGCATAACCTTTGGCCTCACCTGAATCTTTTCCCTTCATTATTCTAACCTGTGAACATATATAGATTTCTATGAGCCTAAATGTAAAAGATGCTGCACAGCTTTACAATCAACATGTCTTACCTCAGTCACTTCCCCAATAGATTCACAAAATCCCCTCAAATCCTCTTCGGATGCATCATGAGGAATGCCACCAAGATACACCTCTGACCCATGCGGAGGACGTGCAAGAAGCTCAGCATGCTTCTTTTTCTCCTCCTCATCCTCTGCACCAGCAACTGTCATCTCTTCATCACCATCTGAGCTTTTCTGTCCATCAGATTTTGTAGCAGGTTGCTTATTTTCTTCCTCTTCCTCACCCTCCTCGTCTGGATCTTCTTCTTCCTCTTCCTCCTCTTCTTCCACCTCAACTTCCTCCTCCTCCTCCACTTCTTCATACTCAACCTCCTCTTCTATTGTTTCCTCAGGATCATTGTCTCCATCCAGGTCCACCCGCTCATCAGATTCTACATGCCTTTCAGATGCTTCCCCAGAAATATTTGTCCTTGTTTTCGGCATCTTATATATCTAGAATGCCAAGCTTGCAAGGCAACTGTGAAGAAAGCACAGTAGCCAGAAGCATTCACAGAAGAAAGAATACAGATATGGAAAGGTGGAAACAACATGAGAGGCCAAACGAAGTTGCAGAGAAAGAATTTCGAAAGAATCTGTGCCATGAGGTATGGGTTCAAGGACTTGCAAAGTCAATGATTTTCAATTAAGGGGTCATTATATAGTAACAATAGTAATAGAGACAGGCAACAGAAGAATTCTGCATGATTTATCAAGGGGATGATGATGCTCAGCAGGCGAAATAAACAATGAAGCAGTGAATTTCTCGAATATTTAGATATCGACATTCGACAGTAAATGGATGGTGTAATTGTTTAAATATCTATCTGGAGAGTTTCATGCCCAAAGAGACAAAAAATAAAAAGGAAAAAATATGAATAAGAAATCAAACAACATATAGCAGAAATCATAGATATGATAACATATTGAACATCACAGCTGAAACAGTATGGGGCTGACATGTTACAAAGAATTGAAAATTTTCGAGCATTCGCTTTGATTAAAACCCGCATTTAGATATTAATAAAGCAAGATTACACTAAACTGAAGCTTGAGAAAAGGATGAAAGCAAATCCCATCCCTTTTTTGATTCTATACAAGCGACCTTAGGCGACTGGGGAATTCAACTCGGGACCTCAGGCTCAAGGGCGAAGGCTATTAACCGACTGAGCTACAGAGCCCCTTGCTCAATCCCATCCAATTAAAAGCCAACTAAATGCCTCAAATTCTCCAACTTTTAAACAATAACAACCACCCCAAAAGTGACCCCAATTTCCCCAAACCTAGCCAACCAACCAAACATTTGATTCGTTTCGATTCCAATCCTTTCTCGGAATTTTTTTTGCTTTCGGATTCCCCCTTTACATTTCTACACAAAATAACACTACCCAAGTGAACAAAAACCATTAATTTGCATTTCAGAGATCCATATTATGAAACTAGAACAGAAAATTGAATATTTCAACGAAAATAATCCCCAAAAATATATAAAAATTGGTGAAAAAAATCCAATGAAAAACAATGTAAAATTGGAAAGAGAGCAAGTACCTGACTGTGGGACCAATTTGTTCAATCTCGGAAACCCTAATTCGGTGCTCTGAGCTTTTTTTACTTTAGCTCGAACCCAACGAACGAAAACGATAAGGGAATAGCTTTTGAGATTTGTGTGTCGTCTTGCGAACTTCCGACGTAGATATTCAAAAGTTATTGGACCATGTGATCTATTGATATTGGGCCGCACTTTTGGGTTTCGGCCCGTAAATTTTGTGACATGGCCAACTTATGGGCTTCCAGCCCATTATTTCACACCGGAGCCTTCTCACTTTTCCCTTGTAAAAACGAATCATTACATTTAGATGACTATACGATTTCTGATTGGAATGATTATATGTTTTTTAAGGAATGAAATTTAAATGAAGATAAAGAAATTGAACAATGCCAATTGTAAAATTTATGCAGTAAAAATATGTATACGCAAGAGGTGGGATAACACACTGTTCCATAGGAATGCAAATATTATCCATTTATTATTTGTTTTGCAGTTTTGCTTGGAACAAATTAATAACACCGTACTACATTCACAACAGCACAAGGATGTAGTTTAAGAGCTCGTTTAGAAGTGTTTTTAAAATAGTTGAAGGAAGTATTTTTGATACTAATCATTGATAAGAATGCAATTGAATCTTGAAAAAAAACACTTGATGTGCTTCTTGCATGAAACACATAACTATTACTTCTTGCAGAAAGCAATTCAAGTTTTCTAATATCCAAAAATATTTTCACTAAAAACGCTTTCAATCATTTTAAAAGCACTTTCAAACGAGCCCTATCATGGTGTTAGATTTACGGGCATAAAATCCCCTCAACACGAATGGATCAGCCTAAATCATTTTCCATCAGAAATGATCACGGATTTACAACTGAAATGAATAACACAGACACTACCAAGTCCTCGATCAATTAGACAACCCAGCTCCCATTTTTCTGGCACAGATCAGGCAAATTTGCCGCTCAAGACATCGAAAAATATGAAGTCGAAGTGAAAAATGAAGGGTAAAAGCATTGGATCTGCAAAACATAAAATAAAAAACTCAAACACAGCAATCTCGCGGATAATGAGTCGCATGAACTTTGAAGGTTTAGCAAAATAGATTGCAGGTACATTCAATAAGGTTTGAATATTTGAGACTTCTGCAAATGTCGAATAGCCAAGATCTTAATCACTTCACTGCCATAAAATTCAAAAAACTGCCAAAGATAGTACTAAAACTACGTGATCAACTACATTAAAAGGAAGCCCTTTCCCGCTTACAACGCAATCTTGTTGTAACTCAGATGAACAACTGTTTATATTCTCCATTTGCAAGCTGACAGAGCTGATTGTAAGAAGATGTGTCTGCCAGTAGGATAAGAAAAAATTGAATTACATCAGAACCAGCAAAAGAACATGGACTACTACCCAAACGATTAAGCACTATATAGACCAATAAGATGAACACTGATATGAAAACCGAAGAAGGGTTACAGTTTGGGTTTCTTATTGATATAACCAATTCTGAAGAATCTGAACGTAGTTCTCATTGCTTCCAAAAGATTAAACACCAGTTTGACAACACACAGCATTTGGGACGCTCAAGTAATGCAAGCATTCTATAGAAGTGTCAAGCAAAATAACGAGTTTGAAGATTTAACATAACCCGTGATTAAATTGGGAACTCACTTTTTATGGTTGACACACAAGTTTAATCGCTTAAACACTTAGGCAGGAACTATATATTTCGGGTTCCTAAAAGTGTCAATAAAATGAACTGTTTTCTGGCGATTTTAAGCTGAAACCCCTTCCTACAGATTCAACTTCACCCAATCCCAAATCCAAGCACAATAAACTTCCGACAGTAACAATTACAAAAGAGGTGCCATTACAAAATAGTGTGAACCATACTTAGAAATTGAAGAACATAGGGAAAAAGGCATACCAATTGTCTCTCCAAAGTTGTTCCATATCTCAGCATGGATGGACTTATCACTGTCAGCAATGCCTATGACCTCAACAAATTTTGTAAGAGGAACCGGCGGGGTGCCCTTAACAACTAGCTCCTTTCCATCAGTAGAATTTCCAATAACAGTTCCACCCTCAGTTCGCACCACCTGAATCAGTGCCCGAACCCGCCTTCCAACATACAGTCGCAACAACTCTGCATTGACAAAAACTACAGGATTTGATGTATCCATATCCTGCAAATCAAATCAAAGGTCTCAGAAGACATGATGCAAAATCATCTCCAATTTTACAAAAAGCAAAAACCCTATCCTTGCAATTAGATGGTGCAGACTGCAGAGAAAACCCCTAAGCTGCTATAAAGTAGTTAAAGGGCTCGTTTGAGGTGGGTTCGGTTCCGTTCGGTTCAGTTTTTGGCCGAAACCGGAAACCAAACCGAAGTTACTGTTCGGTTCGGTTTTTCTTCCCTTTTTTTCGGTTTGGTTCAATTTTTTTCAGTCTCAGTTTTTTTTCGGTTCCATTTCAGTTCTGTTCGGTTTTTTCCATGAAAAATTATATTTTTTTTAATTCAGAACATGAATCTTTTATCCAACACAATAAATAAAAAAATAAAAAAAAAAAACTTGAATTGAATCAGATGGAAAGAAACAGACACACATTTTCCAGTGATAGACTTTCTTTGCATCTCCACATATAATGTGCAACCCATACTTTCTTTGGTCTCTGTCCAATTTATGTTCCTTCCGATTATCATTCTTCCAACATAGATTCACGCATACATAATCACATAAACGAATCAAACCCACGAAAACTTATACAAATACATTCAGCCGCGATGGCTAACATGCTTGAAATCTATAAATTACATGATGCTATGAATCCAACACACAATTGACGCAAAATCAAAAAAGCGGATTCAACTTAATTGCTCTCTGAAGCACTCCAACCGATTTTGATCTTTGAGAAAAATACCAATGTGTGAATGAATGAAAACTCTATCACATCTTCACGAATAGCACAAAATCTAAATATTGAAACTCATACACTAGCAGCAAATCAACAACCCAAAATCCCTAAATCTAGAAAACCCTAAGTTACTCTTCCTAAATCCCTAAATTGAATACCTTTTGATTGAAGATGTGGCTTCGACAAGAACCGTTAGGTGGTGTCGGAGTTTAGAGAAGCTGATGGTCGTGGTCGGAGTCGACTTCACATGAGCTGAAGGAGGAAGCTCAGCTATCGAGATTCGATCTGAGTTGTGGTCGCGACGGCTGTAATGGGGGTGACGATGGTGGTGAATCGATGATAGTCTCGCCTGGATTTGGCTATGTCGTCGAGGAAGGATAGGAAATTGGGGGAATAGATGAGTTAAGTGGGATATATGAGGTTAGGTAAATACGGGAAGCAAATCCCTAGATGGTAAGGTGCGGCACATTTGGGCTTAAAAGTATAGTTGTTAAACAGTTAAAGGCTTTTTTTAATATTTTGGGCTTAAAAGTTTGGCAACACATTGGACTTTAGCACATTTGGGTTTAGAAAACAATACCCAAAACAGATAATTAAATAAATAAAATAAAATAATATTAATTTAATTAATTCGGTTCGGTTAGGTTAGATTTTTTCAAATCGATTTAATTTTTTCGTTTGGTTCGGTTTTTTCAGTCTCGGTTCGATGTTCGGTTCGGTTTTTTGAACCCACCCCTATTTGAGAACACTTCTTCTCGACGCTTCTGTTAGAAGTGCTTTTATTATAAACATATAAAAACAAATTATTAAAAAACTAAGCACTTGGAAGTGCTTCCTCAAGAGCAGGTGATTCTTCAAAAACCACTAAAGAGTCGGAAGGCGATTTTCCATCCAAAACGAAGTTAGAAGTGCTTTTGGATTCATAAAACATTTTTAGCCCTTCCATACCAAAATCCCAAACAAGCCCAAAATCTTGTTGGAAAAATGCATGTTGTACATACATTTCAAAAGAAAATTCATTCTAATTTGCTTTTTTGGCATTCTTCTTACTTCATCACTCTCATGTGGATGTTAAACTGAAATCATTTGAATATTTTCTTTTATGGGTAAAATTTGCTTTTGATTTCAAAAAACAAAAAATCCTAAGTAAGCCCTAATATAAACAGAGTCAACATGAAATTATTTTAAACGAATTACTTAGATGAAGAACATCAACACCATGCTCAATTGAATTTCATAAAAAAAAATAAAAAAAATAAAAAAAAGCAAACTCAACGCAGCAAATCAGCACTTGAAACAACAATCAGAATCAAAATTGACAACAAAACAAAATTTACACTGAAAATTAATAGAAAATCGAACAAAATAAAAGCACATTTAAGCATTACGTTTGGTTACTGAGAAACCAAATTGAAAGATAAATTAACTTTCCCTTTTTGGCAATTTCTCTGTAAAAGCAAAACAGTGCACTTTGCATATGAGAGAAAGCTAGGGATTCGAGATCTTACTTGACAGCAGGAATGAATTGCTGGAGAATGGCGTTGAAAGAAAGAAGTAGGTTTGGAAGGTTAATGATAGGAGCATATTTATGCTACTTAGTTATGTTGTTTCCTTGCATTTAGTTAGTTAATTACTATCCATTTTAGTCTTTTAAGCTATTTTCGTATGTTTTTAGGTCCTAATGGCAAAAGGAGCAAGAAAGTAGATTTTGAGGCTATTTGGAGCAATTTTGGGCATGGATTGAATAACTTAACTATGGAGCAATGTGGATGGACAAAATTGAAGTCAAGAGAAGCTAGGAAAGGCTAAAAATCTGGAGCAAGAAGTCCAAATGCAAAGAAGATAAGGAAAAAGCAAGAAATAAGGAACCTTATCCAAATTTCCTTATCTTATCCAAACCTTATCCAACCTTATCTTATCTTATTCTATCCTAATCTTTTCCTACCTTAATTCCAACTTTAGAGAGGACTCCTTTTCACATTAAATAACATAAATATCAAGTTCTAAAAGCCCTATTTTCGTGCGTTAAGTTTATGCCACATGTAACCCTTCTAGAAGTTCTAGAATATGCCACAAGGACCATTCCTTGTCCTCCTTGGAATCTGATTGAAAGTATCCTTGTTCTTTGGTGATTTGGAGTCCTAATTCCTCCCCTTTTCAGCCCAATTTCGTGCCTCCCCTTCACCCTATAAATACATGATGCCACAACACTCAAAAACCACCACCCTCTACCACAAATTCACACCACACCATTCACCACACCTCAAGAGCCTAAATTCACACAAATCCCTATTGTTGGCAGCAAGGAAGGAAGGAGAAGCCACCTGGAGTGTTTCTAGATGTATTCTATCTTTGTTTTTAATGTTTAAGTTTAATTATCTTTGTTTTGCGGACATGTGGAACTAATTTCTTTTTAGTTGGAGGTGAATTCGAAGCCATGATTATATGTTTTATATGAATTGATTATATCCAGTTATTGTTTCTTGAGTCTTGAATGTGATTTGCTTATCTAAGTTATTAAAACTTGTTTATGTATGTGGGTTGGGGGTCGACACTTAATTTGCATGCATGAATTTGATGCTAGAGTATAAGGGGGTCTCACGTAATAGTTATTCACTTATATTCACAAGTAGTGGAGGTTGCTAGTCACAATCGCGTTAAGTAAATCCTTGGTATAAGTCTCATGTGTTTCTAGTGATGAATGTCTTGTCAATGCTTATGATTTTCATAGAACTTAATGACTTTTGATATGTATTTCTATCATGCGTTTCATATAGGGAACTTGAGAAGGATAATTTGGTTTAGATGCGTATTCCATCTATTTCAATGAAATAAGGAAAATATGATGGTTAGTTGTGCGATGCAACTAACTTGGGGCGTTGTCATTCATAGTCTAAAGGAAAAATCCCTACATTTGCAATTCAATCTTATCTATTTTTATCGGTTTCTGTAGGTTTAAATCCCTACATTTGGAAATCGACATGATTAGATCAGATGATTGATTTCTTGTGAAGATCTAATCAAATCTTTCCTTGTTCGTTTTAGGAAATGTGTTTTTGCTCTTATAAGTCTTTTTTTTTTTTTTTTTTTTTTTTTTTTTATAAGTCTTTGAAATATTTTCTTAGTATAGCGATAGCGACCAGGTTTGGTGAGTTAGATGGTTATTTGTTAAGAGAGGGGAAATCAGTGAGGATCGAACCTGCACTACGGTACTTAGGCATGATTGTTTTTCCATCATTGCAATAAAACGTCATCTGCAATCTTTGAAATTGAATAAACTTGAATTATTAAGTCTTTGTGTGATTATGGTATGTTTACTTAACATGAATGACAAAAAGTAAAAAATCGGGGAACTTAAGAATATGGGAAGTAAGTAAAAGGGAAGTAAGAAACCTACGCTTATCAATGATGGTCTATGATTCTAGCATTTGTAGCCTATGCCCATGCTCATGACATTTCGTTTTACCTTATTATCATTTTTGTTGATCTTCTGTCTTTGTGGGTTTTAGTTTCGTCCCCCGCGTGTATTTATTTTTTTATATTTTGTTGTGCTATTATTATTAATAAAAAAGGGTGGGGGAGGGACATACATGGGGTTTCTAGGTGATGGCCCTTACCCCTTCGAGAAAAGATAAGTGCCTCACACACAACCATTGCCAAAAAGCTAACATCGCCTTATCTTTCTCCATTTCACTTAAAAAAAGATCAAATAATCTAGAGATGTTTAGCCAACAAGAACGATGAGAGAAGAATTAGGAAACTTAGGATTTAGGAATATAGGAAGTAAGGAAAGGGAGTCGGATCAACTAGTTTCCCTATTTTTTAACATACGATACAATCTACACCAAGGGGTAGGGGAGTGGACAAAGCCTCAAAATGAACTAGTCATAATAATGTGTTGGACTTTACATTTGGCGAGAATTGAATTTAGGAGTTGGTTGAGTTCATTTTAGTTTCGTTTTTAGCCAAAACCAAACACGAAACTGAAATTACTATCGAGTTTGGTTCAGTTTGATAAAAGGGAAAACCGAACACTTTCAATTCCGTTTTTTTCGATTCTGTCCACTTCAGTTTCGGTTTTTCCAATTTTTTTTTTTTTTAAAATTAAAAGTTGGAGAGAAAATGAAGAGAAAAAAAATCTAAGGAATTAAGAATTGGCCTTGGATTGAAATCAGGCCGACAGCTAGCTAACTTCGAATTGGGCTTGAGAAATGAATACTCTACACAAATAAATATGCAAAATATAAAACAACTAAAATTTTCTAAATGCTAGCTAACTTCGAATTGTTTCATGTATTGCTTCTTGTGGGTAAGGTTACTGTTACACAAACAAAGGAACCAAAGTATCATGGAACTCATCACTAAGTCATCGGCAACTGCAAGTACTAGTTCTCCAGCTCAAGGAGCTTTTAATACTGGGAGATTAATGGACAGATTCAGTAATCTTCAAGAGGAAATGGTTCATCATATTCTATCCTTCCTCGCTCAAAGAGACCTCGCTCGAGTGGGCTGTGTGTCCAATAGATGTAGACAGTTTCAGCTGTCAACTCCATCATCGAATTTCGACGCAATGCCTTGTGCTCATTTTACATGGGGTAGATTGAGGTTGTTGAATTATTTTGACAGGTTCTTGATCCAACGCGGGAATAATCATAAACAACGCTTTCGTATTTGTTGGGTCTTTACAGGCCACTTGGTAGGCAACTGTGATGATTATTTTCGAGTCATCACTTGGATCCATAATGCTGCAAGGTGTAACGTTGAAGTGCTTGATCTTGACTTCCATAGCCATGATGACAGGATAATAGAAGTAGAATTGCCAATCTGCCTCTTTCGTTGCCAATCTTTGAAGTCACTAATGGTGGACTTGAAGTTTAGCATTCTTAAAACCCCATCCCTGGCTTGTTCCACCACTCTCCGAAGCTTGAAGTTGAAAAATCTTACGATCAACGAGGAGTTTTGCAAATGGATCTCATGTTCCTGTAAATGCCTCAAGGAATTATGGCTTGAACTTGTTCATGGGTCACATATTATCACCATCGAAAGCTCGTCTTTGGAATCGTTGCATTTTTCATCCTGCTATTTTTACTATGGTTCTCAATATGTTGGCTGTGACATCTTATATCTTAGCATCTCAGGTGAAAAGCTCGAAGACATGCATTTGGAGTGGAAAGCTGTGTCCAGCAACCATTTGATAAATATAGACGCTCCGAAACTTAAACATTTTAAATGGTTTGCAAGAATCCAAAATATGAGGAACTCTTTGTGTTTAGAAGAAGCTGTGTTTTGTCTCCGTGCTAGGGTTCATGATATTGACAAAGTAATGGGGATCCTTTCCAGTATTCGCAGAGTTAAAGCTCTTGTTCTAAATGATGATACCTCAATGGTACATAAAATATAAGGGATTTTGAGGCCCTTCTCCTTTATCTGTCTCATATACATGTTGCCTTATGAATTATAATTTGCAGGCTCGACTATTCAGGAGGGAGCAGGCAGGGCCGGCCCTAAGAATTTAGGGGCCCTAGGCAAGTCTTCGAAGTGGGGCTCTAAAATTTTTTGATCTCCGGCTCTTTGTATATTGATTTGTATAACAAAGAATTCGCTAAATGCATAAAAAGTTCTATTTTCACATCAAAAATCATTAAAAATTAATATCAAAAAAAGATAAATATACAAATATTACTTAAACATTACACGATTCACGTTTTTAGACACAAATATACTAAATGTTTGTAGTCAAGAGTCTAAGATTGAGAGTGAAGAACAATAAAATTTGATGATCAAGAGAGTAAATAACAATAAAACTTGATTGATGAGTATAATAAATTCAACACCAATTGTTTCTCTTGTGTTTTTTTTCTTCTTCTAAAATCAACATCACACTAACAAATTGAATATTAAAATAATCCATTGAATAAAAAGTTATTGAAAAGAAAAATAGAAATTCAAAATTTTGATTACCTTAAAGTACAATCTTTAAGACCATATAACAGTTGGTTTAAACATTCAATAGAAATAGAGAGAATGAGAAGTTGGTTTAAACATTTGATAGAAATGGAGAGAATGAGAAGTTGAAAGAAAAAAAAATTGCAAAGAGACTTGAGTTTTATGAGTTTATATGCATTTGGACAGATAGATTGTCACTAAATTTGAAAAACAAGAAAACTCTAGAGACTGAAAGGCACCTTCATGTTTCGAACTCAACCACCCCAAAGAAAAATGAAGCCAACATTTCCACTACACTAACAAATGAATTATGATATTTCTTACTTATTTATTTATATGTTAATTTCAAGATATATAATATTTTTGAAGGTCCTTCCAAAATGGGGGCCCTAGGCGGGCGCCTACTTGGGCTACTCTCAGGCCGGCCCTGGGAGCAGGATTTAGTGTCAGAACTATTTCATCACCTTTCTCACTTCCGTACATATACACGTCTGAGTAATTTCTTAGTCCGCAGAATGGCTTCTCTTCTTAGAGGAATGCCTAATCTGAAAACTTTGGACTTAAAGCATGTGGCAACTTTCCGACCCTTGCTTCTTAGGATAGTGGAAGTTACCATGGTAAGTAAAACTAAGTTTACTCACATTTACATTTACCTCTCTCTCTCTCTCTCTCTCTCTCTCTCTCTAAGAAATTCTCATTTGGTTTGCATGCATGTTAACTTTCTTCAGCAAGCGGGTTTAGTAGGAGATTCTGGAAATCCTAAAACCTGGCTTGTATTAATTATCAGCTTGAAGAGGTAACAACTGAGCTTTCTTATGGGGGCAATGAATTGGAGTTTGCAAGGTATATCTTTGAGGAAGCCAAGAATTTGAAGAAAATAGTCATACTTTATTTACCCAATCAATCAACTCGTACGAGGACGGTAAATGAAAGGGAGATGAATTCTGCAACAGTTGTCTTTGAGGAAAAGCAGGGAATGCCTGAACTCCACCGTTTCGTTCTGCGTTAGCAGGGTTGAGTAAAGTGATCGGTAGAGATGCTTGGTTTAAATCTCATTTGAGAAGGATTTATTTATGAGTTAATGTTGAAACCTAAGTCTTGATGTTGATATGTTGAATGACATTTTCTGTTCGTTGAAATTACTCAACTCTTGATGTATATTGGTCTTTGGGCTTCAACCCTCCTTGTCACTTAAGAAAAAGAAAAATTAATAAAAAGAGTTTAAAAACTTTGAGTTTTAACGAAAATGACAAAATGATACAGTAAGTAAATAGTTACATGATTGACTTTTTAGAGTAAAAATATGATTTTTCGTTAAAATAAATAGTACCGGTAACTTTTCGTTAAAGCTCTCTTAAGAAAAAAAGTTTTCATAGGCCATTACTTTGGAACGGAAGCAGAGCACCAAAGGAATTGCAAGACCCAATTACATAATGAAAAGTGGATAGTTTAGGAATTTTACTTTTATCTGAGCTTTTGGTGCTTGTTTTTATGTTTTATTTATTTATACTACGTATTAATAAAACACCCTTCATTGATAAAAAAACTAATGAAAATATCATAAACAAAATGTCATGGATATTAAAGTAATTTTGTACAAAAATTTACTTTTTTTTTTCTTCCTTCACCCATATATCATCAAAGCATGCCTCTTACTTTAAACAAAATAAAATTTTAGACTTGGTAACAAAACTTTTTTGTTTTGTTTTTTTTTTTTTTAACGAGGAAACTTTTTGGTTTCGCAGCACTCAGTTTTTAGATTGTAGTTCATTTTTATATATGTTGACCTGTTCAAATTTTCAACAATAGAACCATTATCAGAGAGTGGGCTAGCTTCTAGGAAAGTTGAAGCAACCCAAAAGTAGTATTCATGATGTGTAATGCCAAGTGTAATGTTAGGAAGACTAAATTTTGGAAACTAAATGATATGAAAGTTGACGATTGAATTATTACATAAGTGTTGATTAACGTGCTTATTTCTTATTGGTGACACATTATTTAGTTTGCAAATTTAATATATCTAGCATTGCTCTAATGCAAAACCAATTATGCTATGCATTTCTAGATCCTTTTTGCTACAAAGTGATGGATTTTCAATTTTTTTTTCCGTTAATGATGAATTCTCAAATGTAAATCTTCATTATTTGAAAGGTAGGAGAAACAATAGAAAAGTCACATTTGAAGAAACAAATAAGATTTTTGGTTGACCTTATGTATTAGCACTTGAGAGTGTAAGGTATGAGAATATTATGAAAAAAGTATATAACGTATATTAAGATAAATTTTTAATTAAAAAAATAAATGTGAGGCCTATTATGTAAAAGGATGTAGTCAATTTGAATTTCAGATAATTTTAATAGATTTTTTTAAGTCCCAAGTTCTCTTATGTCTAAAGCCTATAGGGTGTGGAAAAAGAAAAAATCAGAGGGGAACTGTTGGATTCTTGATGACATTTAGCACACGCAATCAAATCTATCAATCCCTCACTTATTAGTGTTCTAGCAAGTTTTTGTTGTCCTCGCCACACGTAGACATGTGTAGATTTTATTTTAAATTTTAATTAACTACAGCTGAATTTATAATAATTTAAAATCCTTTAAAATTCTAATTTAACTACAATTTTCAAGTCTTTTTAATTCTTATTTTAAAATTCTAATTTTAAAGTCTATTAATAAATTCTATCAAATTCTAATTTTACCGAAAATGTTAAGTGTATTCGACAATACGCGAACATTTTAAGGTTTTACTTTCGAGCAAAACACCAAAATCAGATCGGCTGGCGGGCCGCTGAGAGAGACGCCATTCTCCGCCGTCTGGACACCAATCTTCGCCGTCTGGACGCCACCGGATGTGTAGGTACGAATTGATTTCCGATCCTTCAACCCCCAAAATTGCATGCCATTTCTGATTCCATTTATCCGTTTTCCCTTTCGAAATTCTTCATCTTTACTCATCCGAAGCTATTAAGTACTTCGATCAGGTTTTTTATTCTTTTAATGTCTTTTTTTTTTTTTAACAAATTTTTGTTGGTAATTGTTAATATTGGGAGATTTTGAATTCGAATGGGGAAAAGATGCGGTCTTTTGCTGAGAATTTTCTGGGTTCGTTAACCTACACCAAACCCATGAGGGTTAGTTGCAGATAATTCATATTTTGATAAAATATACGTATATATAAATTTTTATATATAAAGTTTAACTCTTTAATATTGAATGTAACAGATGGTATGTAGGTCGTTTCCTAATGTATTGCAGTTTAGTTGTCGTCGCGGGTCTCATATTTACCACTCAAATGTACAATTTGAAAATTGATAAAATTATGTTCATGTTAGAAATAAATGTAGAGTTTAAATTAGCAGACGGAGTGGTGAAAATAAATGATGCCTATGCACCTTGGTGCGAGTTTGATTCCCACTTATCCTCTCCCCTAACAACTAACTATTTAACCCACTAACGCTATTGTTCGTAAAATAAAATGGTCTTAGTTTTGTACTGTTGATGTCGTATATTTACGTAGTTGTGTTCTCATGTTCTTAATCCTTGCAGGTCTAAGTTATTATTAGAAAAGCGAGAGGAAAACAAGTGTCATGGAACATAAGAGTAAGTTATTGGCAACTACAAGTTCAGAGGCTCAAGTAGCTTGTCCTGAGCGCACGAACGATAGATTTAGTAGTATGCCAGATGAAGTTGCACATCGAATTCTTTCATTACTCTCTATATTGGATCTCATTCGGTTTGGCACTGTATCCAAAAGATGTAGAGAACTTCATCTGTCAACACCCTCTTTGAACTTTGATGAATTTAACAACTGGAATAAATCATCTTACAGTAAGCAATTTAAGCTGTTGAATTCTTTGGATAGGTTCTTGGTTCTTCGTAGGGACAGTAAAATACAACAGTTTCGTATTTGTTGGAGTCTCGCTTATGGAAAAGGTGCAAGTCTCTACAACGAGCTTTACCGAGTGGTCACATGGATTCATATGGCAGTAAGGTGCAATGTTGAAGTACTTGACCTTGAGTTGGGGATACCTGAGACGACTGAACTAGAGTTACCATCTTGCATCTTTCTTTGTGGATCTTTGAGGTCTCTATCGGTGCACTGCAATAAAATTCTTACAGTGCCCTCCTCGGTTCACTCCACCAATCTCCAATACTTAAAGTTGAGAAATGTTACAATAGATGAGGGGTTTTGCAAATGGATCTCGTGTTCTTGCAAATCGATTAAGGAATTACACCTTGAACATGTCCGAGTAGAAAATATCACCATTGAAAGCTCGTCCTTGGAATCATTTAGTTTTGTGTTTTCCTCTCACAGTGACCTCTGTCATCTTAGTATCTCATGTGAAAAACTTGAAGCTATGCGTATAAACTGGAGATTTGATTCGCCTAGCAACAGATCCTTCAAAGTTTTTGCTCCAAATCTTAAGTATTTGAAATGGACTGGGAGTTTGTTGAATAACCAAAATCTTGGGAATTTTATGTGCTTAGAAACAGCTGAAATTTTTCTGAACCATGAGGCAGATAACAATGACTTTGGCAATGTACTTGAGCTTCTTTGCAGTATCCGCAGGGTTAAAGTCCTTATTCTTAGCGGAGAGACAGCCAAGGTAAAACTTTAGAGAGATTCTTTTTTAGCTAAAACATGATGGTTTGCACTATGAATTTGTGTAGATTATGTCATTTTTGGATCTTTGAAAGGATTTTGCAAGGAATGTATCTTCACTATGATTCTATACCATGGAAATAGTAGGGATGTTTAGTTTATGTTCCTGAAACTTAAGAAACCAAAACCAAGTGTGGCATAGTGGAATGAAAATTTCTACTGGTGCGGAAAGTTTTATTTTTGAAATCAATGCATGAGTTCTGGAAATGGGTTGCCCTTTGCTCAAGCCGCTCAACTTTGTTTGTCTTTTTTACTTATAGTGTTCTGGATGCTCTGCATCTTCTATTTCAAGACTCTGCCTCTCATCTTTATAATATTGCAGGCTCTGTTGAGGGAAGGTTCTATGCCTGCACCGTTTGATGATATATCGTACCTGGGTGTGCATATTGAGAGCTTGGTTGATGACATAGTCCCAACAATGGTCTCTCTTCTGAGAGGAATGCCCAATTTGAAAACTTTGTATGTAAAGTGTGACCCACCCTTACTCATCCAGAAACCTAAAGTAAGTTCAACTCTCTCTCCCTCTCCCTCTCCCTCTCCTCCACACCCCACCACCCCCCCACAAAAACGTAGTTTACTATGTGATGTGTCTCAGCAATGGTAACTAAAAATTAGTTGTTCCAAGGGTTTAGGAAAGGGAATGTCAAGTTATTTACTCAATATCTTTGTCACGCCTCATCTCGGTTGGGGATGTAACAATCTATAATAAATTTTAATTTATTTGCTCGTTTCCTTTCCAGGCATGTGGATTTAATAGGGAATTCTGGAAATCTCAAAACTTGGCTTTTATCGATCAGCTTAAGGAGGCAACAATAGAGCTTTCTAGCGGGAACAATGGAATGGAGTTGGTGAGGTATATGCTCGAGGATGGTAAGAATTTGAAGGAAATGGTCATACTTCATTCACCCGAGCAGTCAACTCTTTTTCAGGTGGTAAATGAAAGTAAGCGGAAATCTGCTGCCAGAGTTGTCTTTCAGGAATACAAAGCAAATGAAAGGAGGGAATTAGGCAGGTTTAATATTTATGTAAAGAAATAATGTGTTGCGACTTCAAAACCGTAGTCCGGATGTTGATGGATGCAGTTCGGTTGTCGTACTGCTGCCTTGTGCTTGTTAAGCTTAATAAGTACTATGATTTTTTGTTACTAGTCCATGTATGTTATTGTATAATATTGCGATTATCTTTTACTAGGTTAACAATAGTTTTTTGGTTTCAACGGAGACCTATTGGTTGGCGATTAGGGGCGGAAACTCTCATACAGGCGATTGAGGAGAGAAAAGCCTTGGCCTTTTGTTTTGGGATCTGTTAAAAAGGATCGATATTACACGAAACGTATCTTTGCTTTGG